GGGATGTTTCAGAAACCCCAAACTTGGAGGGGGGTCAATGATTATTGGCCCAAAGGGTGAAAATTACTGGTCTGATCTGCTGAACCACCCGGATAGAAAAGACGGTCCTGTTCCTGTTCGAGCAGTCACACAAATTGCGTTCTGAACATGACAAGTGACTTACATGCATCATTGTCTTGCAACCTTCCGCCCTTCTGTTGCTTCTTACGCAAGCGGACTCAGCTGCAACTTGTTCGACTTCATGGCAAGTAAGCACCTTTCCAGTCAGTGCATTTCCCCGCCCACCAAAGGGGGGTTGTGCTGACTGGGAGGTGTTCAACCCCTCGAACCAAGTCTGGTGTCGACCACGTCTTTGGTGTCTTTATATGGGACCACAAAAACCATACAAAGGGCTTCCTGGCTTCCCTTCGAGGCTCCTTACTCCCCCAAAAAAAGACTCCTGCTTTACCTCCTATTGTTTTGCCCAAATTGATATTTCAAGGGGACACAAAGTTCAAAGGATACCCTCCCACCTATTACCATGGAAACTGACAGGGGGTCCCTTTAAGAGGAAAATGATCTTTCAGGAAATTATTGTCAGGTTCCATGTAAAAAGGGTGGGAGGGTAATCCCTTCTCTCTTTTGTTTTCTCGGCAGGGACCCAGGACCCACCATGGGGCCGCAGGCGATGTAGTCGATGGCCACACCTCACTTGACATTTATGCCCTGAGACATTCTGATCCAAATCAAAACCCGGTGAATTACTAAAAGACGAGATCAGTATTTCAGTGTAGAAGTACTGTGGATGGTTTTTCGAAATCCATTTCGCACCGCTTTGAAACCATGGGACACCATTGTTTGTTTGCATTTACAGTTACAGGGAGAAACGTGATGCCAGAATTTCCTAATGTCGTCCATCCACAGTAGGTACCATCCTACTAACATGAAACCTGACCCGGGTCTTGGAAGACAATGGCCCTCTTGAAGGGACCCTCTGGTGGGTTCCCTGCAGTGGGCTCCATGCTAGTGGACAAGAGTGTAGCCCAATGATTCTGCTTGGCTGAAAAACAACGGAACCCAAGAAAATGTCCGCGACTTCCTTTTGATAGTCCCGGACCCGCATTGGGTACCCTCACAAACGACATTTCAATGTCTACACAATGTGTGAAGAATATCAGAAGGACTGATATCCGCACCCGTTTATAGCTCACTGTTTGCCAGCCTTCAGACCCGGGTTTTGATTGGCTCACGTGAAGTCATACACGAAACATGTTCAACACAGGCCCCGTAGGAAGACTTTCTTGGAGCGTCCCTAGCGTCCCTCTAAGCGCTTTGCCAGAGAGGCTTTCGGATGCTTCGTGTCTACGAGAAGAACAGGGCAAAAGGGCAGAGATAATCCTAGAAGCCTCTTAGAGGTGGAGAAAAGGCTTCGGAATACCTAGGAAAATTCAGGCCCATTTGCCGTGCCTCCAGCCCCAGGCATGAACTGAGGAGGCCACGCAGTGGGTCGGCGTCTTCTTGCAGAGCCTCTCGTGCGGTGCAGCATTTTTTGCTTGCACGCAAAGCCCAAAGAAACTAACATGCGTTTGATACCTTCCTTAAATATTGCAGGTTGAACAAGTGAACCCCCGGCTTTATCGCAAAACCCAAAGAGTTTTGCTCTGAAGTCTGGTCGGTGTATTTGCAATATTTAGGGCAATCATAACTTTGGCAAGGCATGCCATTCTGCTGTCCGGCCCGTCCTTGCCCCTGAACGCAAGGCCAGCAGAGCGACGGGGCAAGAACATGTGACAGCGGGTGAATGACATGTGCACAATGTTCAGCCAGCTCAAGAGCCGTGTCTATCACCTTCATGTCCCACACCAATGTCATCCGAGTTTACCTATCCATGTGGTGAATACAACAAAGAGACTCGTAAGGGCCAAGACCTCGCTGCAAACTAGCACAATCTGAACGTGCTGGAACTACATGGCACAGCTTCCTGTAAACGTCAGGATTGGCTCTTTCGTACTTGCATTTCGATCCGCACCCCTTGAGTGTCCTATGGCTAGCATTTAGCCCTCCCTCTTCAAAGGGGCACACCTCCTCAATAATTCTTGAACTTCTGCCTTTTTTAGGGACCCCCCAAAACAAATGGAGGTTGTCCTTTTGGCTTCCCTTCAAACACCAACCGCAAGAAAGACGAGCCACCCCAATTGAAGCCTTCGCCTTCGCCTGGGCAGGCTTCGAGCCTGGCGGAAGCATGCCTTCGGGCCTTCGGGCTCCGAAAAGATGTCCCATGCCTCACCCCCAAAGCAACGCGTCCTGCCGTCCTGCCACTAAGCTCAGGACGTAAACCTCACCGAAAGGAGCGACGCATTTTGACGTGCCCAAACGGCTGACGCGGGATCAATTTGGCCCTCCGCCGGCCGAAACACCGACAGTTCCGCCGCCAATAAAGTGGGGCGCCCCAAAAGAAGAGTCCTCCAAAAGGTGCCGGCTTCTTTGGGTCCAATGCTGTTGAGGAAGGCCATGGTGCAAAACGGTTGCAAGCAAACAAGAAAACTTGTTCCAATCGTAACCTGTCTAACATGCACCCAATTTCCCTCGAAATCTTCCTGTGACCCTGATTAACAGCATTGCATAGCAGTGAGCGTCTACTGTTCACTCACCTTCTTGTTCGGCTTCCAACTCCCCCCCACTCTAGCTCAAGTTTGGCGAGCCAGGAAAGAAATAAATCCAAGTGGTTCCAACAGAACCTGAAACACCACCTCCGAAACCGCTTCGAACTCCGCGCCTACGCGGGACCGCATCCACCTGGAGAGCTCCTCGAACAACCGGAACTGGTCCCTCAAAATGAGTGGACCTCCCCAAAAAAATGGCGTCCCCAAATGAGTGGCGTCCCTTTGGTTTCCCTCTGACACAACCCCAAGGATATCGTTCGCAAAGACACACCAGAATATGCTGAGTGGAAAAGTGGACCAGCTTGGTTCACACAAAGACGCGATGTCTACGTCTGCGTTATCATATGGATCGTATTTTCCCAAGGCCACATGGCAAAGAAGACCACAGGGGTCCACATGAGAAGCCCCCATTTGGGCTTGGCTCAAAGGGAAACCGCCAAAAGCCTTGGCTTCCCTTCAACAAAACAACCAAAAAGGATACCCTCAAAACGACACGCCCAGTTTCTGTGACTCCCCCGGGCTCCCAAGTTCACGATATTGGATAGGCCATGGATGGGGAGCAAGCCAAAGAAGGCTCAAGCGTTCAGCCAGAAACGCAACAAAAGCCAGAATGCAGCCAACAAAAAAAACAACAACCGACCACCAATAAGCAATAAGCAAACCGGCAAGAACCAACAGTGAATCAACGACCCAGCACCAACACTGACAAACAAACAACACAAAAACGAACAACGACAAACCACAAACTGGAAACTCCCTAAACGTGGTTGGAGTGAGCCGATTCCACCAACATGGGCAAACCAAAAGTGGGCTTGGTGGGAGACCGGGTGTGTTAAATCATCGGACCAGATTTGAGTGAACCTCACTGACAAGTATACTAGGTAGCAATTCGTCTAGCGGATGCCCTGAATTTGGCAAAGATCATCTTTGAAGGGAACCTCAGAAGTTGTTGGACTTGTCCCCGGAATCTTTATGTCAGACCAATTGAAATTTCAGACCCAAATGTTCCATCTGGGCTTCCAAACACTGGAAAGCACCAGCCCCAGGGGAGTCTGCGACTAATCGTCTCCTTCCTCAGAAGCTCGGTGTCCTTCCCCAAATCTCCAAGCCAGGCCTGGAGCCAGTCTCCGGCAGACTTGAGAAGGCTTGTGGTTCTCATAATCGCTAATTTCGACTAAAATGGCAACGGTTCCTTTTGGTCTCCCTTCAAACACCGACCAATCACCAGAACACGTGCGGGCACAAAGCAAATGAGTCGAGACCGCCAGCAAGTACAGAGTACAGCATGTGTCACAATCAAAACCCGGTATTAAAGTGGTCGACCCAGAACCATGAAAAGGCTTAAGAAGGCAGCCGCAGCTATTTATGGTTGGGATTGTCCCTTACTAACCTTCATCTACCCGAGTTTTGATTGTGACTCATGTGGTTTGTCTTGTTTGCCCACGAAGCCAAGGGAAAGCTGACCCGAATACCCGACCTTGGGTCTCACTGGTGCTGGCTGCCAAGTGGCAAGGAAAAAGAACTGGTGGCTAAGTACAAAAAAAAAGACACATCCCATGTCTAAAACATTTCCAGGAATCACAGCTTCGCTGTCATCCCTTCAAACCTTCGCAAGATATGCGCACCAAAGTTGGCGAACACAGCTCCTGCTCAAATGCACATTTGTGCAGTCTGCAAAAAAATTGCTGGTGTCAATATCAGTGATGCACATGATGTATGGAAAACGTCGAAAAACTGAAAATGTCAGGTCACACTCCACGCGAGCTTTGATTCTGGCAGGAGTGAAAACCCGAGTTCTCAAGGTTTGCTGATTGCCTCGCTCTGGTCTCACTGCAGAGGCACGACGTACTGGGACTGGACAACGTGTTGCTTGTCAACCAGGATGCGGGAGCCGTGGGGATATAAATCCCCATCCATGCCTTTGAAGCACTCTTTGCAGGTCAGCAAAACAACTATCGCTTGGTTCTCACTTACCACAGGCAGTGACAGCGAAGTAAAAGAAAAAGCAAATTGTAACCCAACACAGTGGAGATACCATAAGTCTCCTTCATCTGCTTGCAAAGGTTGTCGAACGACTCCGGAGATACCTGGTGGCATGCCTTGTCCACGTGCCAAGAGATCGCGTACGGCGAGCACACGGAGTTGTCATGAGAGGTTCCAGTGGTTGAGCCCGAGTACATCACAGAGTCGGTGTGGCCAACAACGGTCCAGCCATGCAGCATGTCATCAACTGTGGCTGCACCGTTTACAATCTGGAAGATCTGCGCTTGGACCACGATCATAGGGTTCAAGAGGCCACGGCCGTTTGCGGCACCTCCCAAGCCGTCTGCCAGATTGTCAGCATTGACGTCATCTGTCTCATTGGCATCCATGCCGGCAGAGGACGTAATGAATCTCGTAGGACTTGCCCACTTCCACCTGGCCCTTGCAGTACTGGAAGGTGTAGGCTTGCAGCTGGGTGCTGTTCAGGCTGCTCGTGGGGCACATCCAGCCCGGTCGCACCGTGCCGGTTGTTGCCAAGCGCCGGCTTGAGTCATAGGTCTGCGAGTCCGTTCCGTCGGAGTAGGCGTCTGACTTGTGCTCTGCGCCGTAGTGGAAGTGCACGTTCACCAGCGGCAGCGAATTTGCCTGCGTGTCGGTGAGGGTGATGGCTTTTGGCGTCCTGTCGCCCATGGCACCCGTGGTCAGGTCACGCGGCGTCTGGGGCCCTGCCATGGAGCAAGCCGGCTTCTGGAAGTTGTAGGGGCAGGTCGGCGCGCCCGGGTACGTGCCCAGCTCCTTTGTCGCGGAACCGCAGCACTGGTTCGTCTTGTAGAAGTCCTTGACGTCACCGCAGGTGAGCCCAGCCACCATGCTTGGCAGCACAACAGCGGGCAGCAGCAAGGCCCAAGACTTTGCGCGTCCCGGCTGGGCCAGGGCCAGCACGAGAAGCAGCAAAGAGAGGTTGGGAGTCATGCCCGTGGATCCTGAGAACTGTTCGGGGTTGGTGTCACAAAGGTCGACCTCAACATCATCGGGGCACACATCTCCTGCCACCAACCGCAGCCCACCAAGCAGCAGCAGCGAGCCAATCATTCGCGCCATGTGATGGTGCTAGTGTCACAGTGCGCGGGGAAAGACTTGAGACCAAAATCTCGAGCCGAAGGCAAATATCACCAAGCGCTCAAACAAGAGAATTTCGCACAAAACTCTCGCTGTGTTGAGGGGCTGTTCAAGCTGACTGCCCAGATTGCAGAATACGCATTGACCGGTGCAGGCAACGGCAAAAGCATGTAGTTTGTCATTTGTCCGCCCGCGAAGCCAAGGGAAAGCTGACCCGAATACCCGACCTTGGGTCTCACTGGTTCTGGCTTCCAAGCGGCAAGGAAGAAGAACTGGCAGCTAAGTAAAAAAAATTAAAGACACATCCCATGTCTAAAACATTTCCAGGAATCACAGCTTCGCTGTCATCCCTTCAAACCTTCGCAAGATATGCGCACCAAAGTTGGCGAACACAGCTCCTGCTCAAATGCACATTTGTGCAGTCTGCAGAAAAAAATCCTGCTGTGCAATATCAGTGATGCACATGATGTAAGGAAAACGTCGAAAAACTGAAAATGTCAGGTCACACTCCGCGCGAGCTTTGATTATGGCAGGAGTGAAAACCCGAGTTCTCAAGATTTGCTGATTGCCTCGCTCTGGTCTCACTGCAGAGGCACGACGTACTGGGACTGGACAACGTATTGCTTGTCAACCAGGATGCGGGAGCCGTGGGGATATAAATCCCCATCCATGCCTTTGAAGCACTCTTTGCAGGTCAGCAAAACAACTATCGCTTGGTTCTCACTTACCACAGGCAGTGACAGCGAAGTAAAACAACAAAAAACAAATTGTAACCCAACACAGTGGAGATACCATAAGTCTCCTTCATCTGCTTGCAAAGGTTGTCGAACGACTCCGGAGATACCTGGTGGCATGCCTTGTCCACGTGCCAAGAGATCGCGTATGGCGAGCACACGGAGTTGTCATGAGAGGTTCCAGTGGTTGAGCCCGAGTACATCACAGAGTCGGTGTGGCCAACAACGGTCCAGCCATGCAGCATGTCATCAACTGTGGCTGCGCCGTTTACAATCTGGAAGATCTGCGCTTGGACCACGATCATAGGGTTCAAGAGGCCACGGCCGTTTGCGGCACCTCCCAAGCCGTCTGCCAGATTGTCAGCATTGACGTCATCTGTCTCATTGGCATCCATGCCGGCAGAGGACGTAATGAATCTCGTAGGACTTGCCCACTTCCACCTGGCCCTTGCAGTACTGGAAGGTGTAGGCTTGCAGCTGGGTGCTGTTCAGGCTGCTCGTGGGGCACATCCAGCCCGGTCGCACCGTGCCGGTTGTTGCCAAGCGCCGGCTTGAGTCATAGGTCTGCGAGTCCGTTCCGTCCGAGTAGGCGTCTGACTTGTGCTCTGCGCCGTAGTGGAAGTGCACGTTCACCAGCGGCAGCGAATTTGCCTGCGTGTCGGTGAGGGTGATGGCTTTTGGCGTCCTGTCGCCCATGGCACCCGTGGTCAGGTCACGCGGCGTCTGGGGCCCTGCCATGGAGCACGCCGGCTTCTGGAAGTTGTAGGGGCAGGTCGGCGCGCCCGGGTACGTGCCCAGCTCCTTTGTCGCGGAACCGCAGCACTGGTTCGTCTTGTAGAAGTCCTTGACGTCACCGCAGGTGAGCCCAGCCGCCGTGCTTGGCAACTGCAGCCCGCCAAGCACCAGCAGCGAGCCAATCATTCGCGCCATGTGATGGTGCTAGTGTCACAGCGCGCGGGGAAAGACTTGAGACCAAAATCTCGAGCCGAAGGCAAATATCACCAAGCGCTCAAACAAGAGAATTTCGCACAAAACTCTCGCTGTGTTGAGGGTCTGTTCAAGCTGACTGCCCAGATTGCAGAATACGCATTGACCGTGCAGGCAACGGCAAAAGCATGTAGTTTGTCATTTGTCCGCCCGCGAAGCCAAGGGAAAGCTGACCCGAATACCCGACCCTGGGTCTCACTGGTGCTGGCTGCCAAGCGGCAAGGAAGAAGAACTGGCAGCTAAGTAAAAAAAATTAAAGACACATCCCATGTCTAAAACATTTCCAGGAATCACAGCTTCGCTGTCATCCCTTCAAACCTTCGCAAGATATGCGCACCAAAGTTGGCGAACACAGCTCCTGCTCAAATGCACATTTGTGCAGTCTGCAGAAAGAATGCTGGGTGTCAAAATCAGTGATGCACATGATGTAAGGAAAACGTCGAAAAACTGAAAATGTCAGGTCACACTCCACGCGAGCTTTGATTATGGCAGGAGTGAAAACCCGAGTTCTCAAGGTTTGCTGATTGCCTCGCTCTGGTCTCACTGCAGAGGCACGACGTACTGGGACTGGACAACGTGTTGCTTGTCAACCAGGATGCGGGAGCCGTGGGGATATAAATCCCATCCATGCCTTTGAAGCACTATTGAAGGTAAGCAAACACAACTTCGCCTTGGTTCTCGTACTTACCACAGGCAGGGGCAGCACGATGTAAAACAAAAACAAATTGTAACCCAACACAGTGGAGATACCATAAGTCTCCTTCATCTGCTTGCAAAGGTTGTCGAACGACTCCGGAGATACCTGGTGGCATGCCTTGTCCACGTGCCAAGAGATCGCGTACGGCGAGCACACGGAGTTGTCATGAGAGGTTCCAGTGGTTGAGCCCGAGTACATCACAGAGTCGGTGTGGCCAACAACGGTCCAGCCATGCAGCATGTCATCAACTGTGGCTGCACCGTTTACAATCTGGAAGATCTGCGCTTGGACCACGATCATAGGGTTCAAGAGGCCACGGCCGTTTGCGGCACCTCCCAAGCCGTCTGCCAGATTGTCAGCATTGACGTCATCTGTCTCATTGGCATCCATGCCGGCAGAGGAGTGGACGTAATGAATCTCGTAGGACTTGCCCACTTCCACCTGGCCCTTGCAGTACTGGAAGGTGTAGGCTTGCAGCTGGGTGCTGTTCAGGCTGCTCGTGGGGCACATCCAGCCCGGTCGCACCGTGCCGGTTGTTGCCAAGCGCCGGCTTGAGTCATAGGTCTGCGAGTCCGTTCCGTCGGAGTAGGCGTCTGACTTGTGCTCCGCGCCGTAGTGGAAGTGCACGTTCACCAGCGGCAGCGAATTTGCCTGCGTGTCGGTGAGGGTGATGGCTTTTGGCGTCCTGTCGCCCATGGCACCCGTGGTCAGGTCACGCGGCGTCTGGGGCCCTGCCATGGAGCACGCCGGCTTCTGGAAGTTGTAGGGGCAGGTCGGCGCGCCCGGGTACGTGCCCAGCTCCTTTGTCGCGGAACCGCAGCACTGGTTCGTCTTGTAGAAGTCCTTGACGTCACCGCAGGTGAGCCCAGCCACCATGCTTGGCAGCACAACAGCGGGCAGCAGCAAGGCCCAAGACTTTGCGCGTCCCGGCTGGGCCAGGGCCAGCACGAGAAGCAGCAAAGAGAGGTTGGGAGTCATGCCCGTGGATCCTGAGAACTGTTCGGGGTTGGTGTCACAAAGGTCGACCTCAACATCATCGGGGCACACATCTCCTGCCACCAACCGCAGCCCACCAAGCAGCAGCAGCGAGCCAATCATTCGCGCCATGTGATGGTGCTAGTGTCACAGCGCGCGGGGAAAGACTTGAGACCAAAATCTCGAGCCGAAGGCAAATATCACCAAGCGCTCAAACAAAAGAATTTCGCACAAAACTCTCGCTGTGTTGAGGGGCTGTTCAAGCTGACTGCCCAGATTGCAAGGCAACGGCAAAAGCATGTGGATTGTCATTTGTCCGCCCGCGAAGCCAAGGGAAAGCTGACCCGAATACCCGACCTTGGGTCTCACTGGTTCTGGCTTCCAAGCGGCAAGGAAGAAGAACTGGCAGCTAAGTAAAAAAAATTAAAGACACATCCCATGTCTAAAACATTTCCAGGAATCACAGCTTTGCTGTCATCCCTTCAAACCTTCGCAAGATATGCGCACCAAAAGTTGGCGAACACAGCTCCTGCTCAAATGCACATTTGTGCAGTCTGCAGAAAAAAATCCTGCTGTGCAATATCAGTGATGCACATTGATGTAAGGAAAACGTCGGAAAACTCAAAATGTCAGGTCACACTCCGCGCGAGCTTTGATTCTGGCAGGAGTGAAAACCCGAGTTCTCAAGGTTTGCTGATTGCCTCGCTCTGGTCTCACTGCAGAGGCACGACGTACTGGGACTGGACAACGTGTTGCTTGTCAACCAGGATGCGGGAGCCGTGGGGATATAAATCCCCATCCATGCCTTTGAAGCACTCATTGCAGGTCAGCAAAACAACTATCGCTTGGTTCTCACTTACCACAGGCAGGGGCAGCGAAGTAAAACAAAAAACAAATTGTAACCCAACACAGTGGAGATACCATAAGTCTCCTTCATCTGCTTGCAAAGGTTGTCGAACGACTCCGGAGATACCTGGTGGCATGCCTTGTCCACGTGCCAAGAGATCGCGTACGGCGAGCACACGGAGTTGTCATGGGAGGTTCCAGTGGTTGAGCCAGAGTACATCACAGAGTCGGTGTGGCCAACAACGGTCCAGCCATGCAGCATGTCATCAACTGTGGCTGCGCCGTTTACAATCTGGAAGATCTGCGCTTGGACCACGATCATAGGGTTCAAGAGGCCACGGCCGTTTGCGGCACCTCCCAAGCCGTCTGCCAGATTGTCAGCATTGACGTCATCCGTCTCATTGGCATCCATGCCGGCAGAGGAGTGGACGTAATGAATCTCGTAGGACTTGCCCACTTCCACCTGGCCCTTGCAGTACTGGAAGGTGTAGGCTTGCAGCTGGGTGCTGTTCAGGCTGCTCGTGGTGCACATCCAGCCCGGTCGCACCGTGCCGGTTGTTGCCAAGCGCCGGCTTGAGTCATAGGTCTGCGAGTCCGTTCCGTCGGAGTAGGCGTCTGACTTGTGCTCTGCGCCGTAGTGGAAGTGCACGTTCACCAGCGGCAGCGAATTTGCCTGCGTGTCGGTGAGGGTGATGGCTTTTGGCGTCCTGTCGCCCATGGCACCCGTGGTCAGGTCACGCGGCGTCTGGGGCCCTGCCATGGAGCACGCCGGCTTCTGGAAGTTGTAGGGGCAGGTCGGCGCGCCCGGGTACGTGCCCAGCTCCTTTGTCGCGGAACCGCAGCACTGGTTCGTCTTGTAGAAGTCCTTGACGTCACCGCAGGTGAGCCCAGCCACCATGCTTGGCAGCACAACAGCGGGCAGCAGCAAGGCCCAAGACTTTGCGCGTCCCGGCTGGGCCAGGGCCAGCACGAGAAGCAGCAAAGAGAGGTTGGGAGTCATGCCCGTGGATCCTGAGAACTGCTCGGGGTTGGTGTCACAAAGGTCGACCTCAACATCATCGGGGCACACATCTCCTGCCACCAACCGCAGCCCACCAAGCAGCAGCAGCGAGCCAATCATTCGCGCCATGTGATGGTGCTAGTGTCACAGCGCGCGGGGAAAGACTTGAGACCAAAATCTCGAGCCGAAGGCAAATATCACCAAGCGCTCAAACAAAAGAATTTCGCACAAAACTCTCGCTGTGTTGAGGGGCTGTTCAAGCTGACTGCCCAGATTGCAAGGCAACGGCAAAAGCATGTGGATTGTCATTTGTCCGCCCGCGAAGCCAAGGGAAAGCTGACCCGAATACCCGACCTTGGGTCTCACTGGTTCTGGCTTCCAAGTGGCAAGGAAGAAGAACTGGTGGCTAAGTAAAAACTTTAAAGACACATGCCGTGCCCATGTCTAAAACATGATAGGCTTTCCAGGAATCACAGCTTCGCTGTCATCCCTTCAAACCTTCGCGCACCGGAGATGGCGAACACAGCTCCTGCTCAAGTGCACATTTCTGCAGTCTGCAGAAAAAATGATGGTGTCAAAATCAGTGATGCACATAATGTGAGGAAAACATAGAAAAACTGAAAATGTCAGGTCACACTCCGCGCGAGCTTTGATTATGGCAGGAGTGAAAACCCGAGTTCTCAAGATTTGCTGATTGCCTCGCTCTGGTCTCACTGCAGAGGCACGACGTACTGGGACTGGACAACGTGTTGCTTGTCAACCAGGATGCGGGAGCCGTGGGGATATAAATCCCCATCCATGCCTTTGAAGCACTCATTGCAGGTCAGCAAAACAACTATCGCTTGGTTCTCACATACCACAGGCAGTGACAGCGAAGTAAAACAAAAACAATTTGTAACCCAACACAGTGGAGATACCATAAGTCTCCCTCATCTGCTTGCAAAGGTTGTCGAACGACTCCGGAGATACCTGGTGGCATGCCTTGTCCACGTGCCAAGAGATTGCGTACGGCGAGCACACGGAGTTGTCATGGGAGGTTCCAGTGGTTGAGCCAGAGTACATCACAGAGTCGGTGTGGCCAACAACGGTCCAGCCATGCAGCATGTCATCAACTGTGGCTGCGCCGTTTACAATCTGGAAGATCTGCGCTTGGACCACGATCATAGGGTTCAAGAGGCCACGGCCGTTTGCGGCACCTCCCAAGCCGTCTGCCAGATTGTCAGCATTGACGTCATCTGTCTCATTGGCATCCATGCCGGCAGAGGAGTGGACGTAATGAATCTCGTAGGACTTGCCCACTTCCACCTGGCCCTTGCAGTACTGGAAGGTGTAGGCTTGCAGTTGGGTGCTGTTCAGGCTGCTCGTGGGGCACATCCAGCCCGGTCGCACCGTGCCGGTTGTTGCCAAGCGCCGGCTTGAGTCATAGGTCTGCGAGTCCGTTCCGTCGGAGTATGCGTCTGACTTGTGCTCTGCGCCGTAGTGGAAGTGCACGTTCACCAGCGGCAGCGAATTTGCCTGCGTGTCGGTGAGGGTGATGGCTTTTGGCGTCCTGTCGCCCATGGCACCCGTGGTCAGGTCACGCGGCGTCTGGGGCCCTGCCATGGAGCACGCCGGCTTCTGGAAGTTGTAGGGGCAGGTCGGCGCGCCCGGGTACGTGCCCAGCTCCTTTGTCGCGGAACCGCAGCACTGGTTCGTCTTGTAGAAGTCCTTGACGTCACCGCAGGTGAGCCCAGCCGCCGTGCTTGGCAACTGCAGCCCGCCAAGCAGCAGCAGCGAGCCAATCATTCGCGCCATGTGATGGTGCTAGTGTCACAGCGCGCGGGGAAAGACTTGAGACCAAAATCTCGAGCCGAAGGCAAATATCACCAAGCGCTCAAACAAGAGAATTTCGCACAAAACTCTCGCTGGCAGAATACGCATTGGCAACGGCAAAAGCATGTAGTTTGTCATTTGTCCGCCCGCGAAGCCAAGGGAAAGCTGACCCGAATACCCGACCTTGGGTCTCACTGGTTCTGGCTTCCAGGCGGCAAGGAAGAAGAACTGGTGGCTAAGAAAAAAAAAAATAAGACACATCCCATGTCTAAAACATGATAGGCCTGCCAGGAATCACAGCTTCGCTGTCATCCCTTCAAACCTTCGCGCACCGTAGTTGGCGAACACAGCTCCTGCTCAAATGCACATTTCTGCAGTCTGCAGAAAAAATGCTGGTGTCAAAATCAGTGATGCACATGATGTAAGGAAAACATAGGAAAACTCAAAATGTCAGATCACACTCCACGCGAGCTTTGATTATGGCAGGAGTGAAAACCCGAGTTCTCAAGATTTGCTGATTGCCTCGCTCTGGTCTCACTGCAGAGGCACGACGTACTGGGACTGGACAACGTGTTGCTTGTCAACCAGGATGCGGGAGCCGTGGGGATATAAATCCCCATCCATGCCTTTGAAGCACTCATTGCAGGTCAGCAACACAACTATCGCTTGGTTCTCACTTACCACAGGCAGGGGCAGCGAAGTAAAACAAAAAACAAATTGTAACCCAACACAGTGGAGATACCATAAGTCTCCTTCATCTGCTTGCAAAGGTTGTCGAACGACTCCGGAGATACCTGGTGGCATGCCTTGTCCACGTGCCAAGAGATCGCGTACGGCGAGCACACGGAGTTGTCATGGGAGGTTCCAGTGGTTGAGCCAGAGTACATCACAGAGTCGGTGTGGCCAACAACGGTCCAGCCATGCAGCATGTCATCAACTGTGGCTGCGCCGTTTACAATCTGGAAGATCTGCGCTTGGACCACGATCATAGGGTTCAAGAGGCCACGGCCGTTTGCGGCACCTCCCAAGCCGTCTGCCAGATTGTCAGCATTGACGTCATCTGTCTCATTGGCATCCATGCCGGCAGAGGACGTAATGAATCTCGTAGGACTTGCCCACTTCCACCTGGCCCTTGCAGTACTGGAAGGTGTAGGCTTGCAGCTGGGTGCTGTTCAGGCTGCTCGTGGGGCACATCCAGCCCGGTCGCACCGTGCCGGTTGTTGCCAAGCGCCGGCTTGAGTCATAGGTCTGCGAGTCCGTTCCGTCGGAGTAGGCGTCTGACTTGTGCTCCGCGCCGTAGTGGAAGTGCACGTTCACCAGCGGCAGCGAATTTGCCTGCGTGTCGGTGAGGGTGATGGCTTTTGGCGTCCTGTCGCCCATGGCACCCGTGGTCAGGTCACGCGGCGTCTGGGGCCCTGCCATGGAGCACGCCGGCTTCTGGAAGTTGTAGGGGCAGGTCGGCGCGCCCGGGTACGTGCCCAGCTCCTTTGTCGCGGAACCGCAGCACTGGTTCGTCTTGTAGAAGTCCTTGACGTCACCGCAGGTGAGCCCAGCCACCATGCTTGGCAGCACAACAGCGGGCAGCAGCAAGGCCCAAGACTTTGCGCGTCCCGGCTGGGCCAGGGCCAGCACGACAAGCAGCAAAGAGAGGTTGGGAGTCATGCCCGTGGATCCTGAGAACTGTTCGGGGTTGGTGTCACAAAGGTCGACCTCAACATCATCGGGGCACACATCTCCTGCAACCGCAGCCCACCAAGCAGCAGCAGCGAGCCAATCATTCGCGCCATGTGATGGTGCTAGTGTCACAGTGCGCGGGGAAAGACTTGAGACCAAAATCTCGAGCCGAAGGCAAATATCACCAAGCGCTCAAACAAGAGAATTTCGCACAAAACTCTCGCTGTGTTGAGGGGCTGTTCAAGCTGACTGCCCAGATTGCAGAATACGCATTGACCGGTGCAGGCAACGGCAAAAGCATGTAGTTTGTCATTTGTCCGCCCGCGAAGCCAAGGGAAAGCTGACCCGAATACCCGACCTTGGGTCTCACTGGTTCTGGCTTCCAAGCGGCAAGGAAGAAGAACTGGCAGCTAAGTAAAAAAAAATTAAAGACACATCCCATGTCTAAAACATTTCCAGGAATCACAGCTTCGCTGTCATCCCTTCAAACCTTCGCAAGATATGCGCACCAAAGTTGGCGAACACAGCTCCTGCTCAAATGCACATTTGTGCAGTCTGCAGAAAAAAATCCTGCTGTGCAATATCAGTGATGCACATGATGTAAGGAAAACGTCGAAAAACTGAAAATGTCAGGTCACACTCCGCGCGAGCTTTGATTATGGCAGGAGTGAAAACCCGAGTTCTCAAGATTTGCTGATTGCCTCGCTCTGGTCTCACTGCAGAGGCACGACGTACTGGGACTGGACAACGTGTTGCTTGTCAACCAGGATGCGGGAGCCGTGGGGATATAAATCCCCATCCATGCCTTTGAAGCACTCATTGCAGGTCAGCAAAACAACTATCGCTTGGTTCTCACTTACCACAGGCAGGGACAGCGAAGTAAAACAAAAAACAAATTGTAACCCAACACAGTGGAGATACCATAAGTCTCCTTCATCTGCTTGCAAAGGTTGTCGAACGACTCCGGAGATACCTGGTGGCATGCCTTGTCCACGTGCCAAGAGATCGCGTACGGCGAGCACACGGAGTTGTCATGGGAGGTTCCAGTGGTTGAGCCAGAGTACATCACAGAGTCGGTGTGGCCAACAACGGTCCAGCCATGCAGCATGTCATCAACTGTGGCTGCGCCGTTTACAATCTGGAAGATCTGCGCTTGGACCACGATCATAGGGTTCAAGAGGCCACGGCCGTTTGCGGCACCTCCCAAGCCGTCTGCCAGATTGTCAGCATTGACGTCATCCGTCTCATTGGCATCCATGCCGGCAGAGGAGTGGACGTAATGAATCTCGTAGGACTTGCCCACTTCCACCTGGCCCTTGCAGTACTGGAAGGTGTAGGCTTGCAGTTGGGTGCTGTTCAGGCTGCTCGTGGGGCACATCCAGCCCGGTCGCACCGTGCCGGTTGTTGCCAAGCGCCGGCTTGAGTCATAGGTCTGCGAGTCCGTTCCGTCGGAGTAGGCGTCTGACTTGTGCTCTGCGCCGTAGTGGAAGTGCACGTTCACCAGCGGCAGCGAATTTGCCTGCGTGTCGGTGAGGGTGATGGCTTTTGGCGTCCTGTCGCCCATGGCACCCGTGGTCAGGTCACGCGGCGTCTGGGGCCCTGCCATGGAGCACGCCGGCTTCTGGAAGTTGTAGGGGCAGGTCGGCGCGCCCGGGTACGTGCCCAGCTCCTTTGTCGCGGAACCGCAGCACTGGTTCGTCTTGTAGAAGTCCTTGACGTCACCGCAGGTGAGCCCAGCCACCGTGCTTGGCAACTGCAGCCCGCCAAGCACCAGCAGCGAGCCAATCATTCGCGCCATGTGATGGGGGCAGTGTCACAGCGCGCGGGGAAAGACTTGAGACCAAAATCTCGAGCCGAAGGCAAATATCACCAAGCGCTCAAACAAGAGAATTTCGCACAAAACTCCTGCTACTCTGGGTGCTGGACAAGAGGGAGCGCAAGGGTTTTTGGCAAAAATGGTCCCTTGGAGAAACACGTCCAGGCCTTCCCCCCGCTTGCGCCTCCCGCTGGCCGTGAAGGTAGCGCTGGACAGTGGGGTAGGCCTCCACCTAAATCGAACCAAAAAGCTATCCCCTCGTGTGAAATGAAGGGTTCCCCAGCCGTAAAGGAACCGGTGCTGCAAGAAGAAGAGAGAGCCCCGAGACAGTCACAGTCTGCCATATAAGTCCCAAAAGCTCATGTCTCGCTGTTTTGTCGCAGAGACACTAGCTCCCTCCCGCCAGCTCAAATTCTTGCATCAAAGCGGACTCTCAGTGCATGGAAGCCAGAGATCTGCAGTCTCCTTTCATCTGAGCTTGTCCTTGGCCGGAGAACGCCGCGATGAATCAAGCCGCCAAGTGCTGGCCATCCAGTCCGTTTCCACCTGGCACTGCTCCAAGAAGTGATCTGCGCTCGGCTCCGACCCGCGACTCTGAACGATGCGGCAAAGTCGACGGGCGGATGCCTCCGACTTGAAACCGCCCGTGCTCCGGAGCACCGGACTTGGAGGCACGCGAGTCACCCGAGTCACCCGAGCTCGAGACAGCCCTCAAAGCACAGAGTCCAACAAGCGCCGCCATGTGGCACCCGTCTCGATGAGAGCATCCTGGTTGAAGGCCGCCTCGACTCAACAGCAAACCCGGCAATCCGGCACTTCATGAAACCCGAAAAGAGAAAGGGTTGTCAGAATGCCTACGTTACGTGCCGCCTTCAAGGAAAACACCGAAAAGGGGCCCTGCGTCTTCCAGCACAAACTCAGGGGTTACCCTTTGTGGGTTTCGGCAGTAAAAGCACACATCTTGCCAAGCGCCTCACATGGGCCTGACGTGGGCCTACATCTTGCCGGATCTGACGACAAACCTCAAATTCCCGAAAGCCCAAGCCAGGCCCCGCCATGGAATGGGAGATCTCCACAAAGTCGGACTGCGGCAACCTGGCAACTTCAAGTCTTGCACGGTGACGGATCGCACCAGTTGCCTTCGGTTCAAAGGATGACTGAACAAATGGGAAGGATCCTGCCATCTTTTTCACCCAACTGGTGCTTTTTGGATCACACCCAATCTGTGGAGCAACCTGAGGTCTGAAACGGGTCTCTCCCAAACGGGTCTCGCTGTGATCCAAATCTATGTTGATCCTGAGTGCGTCTGAGCAGAGTGTGTCTTCAAACTCCTCGTCTTTGGAGAGGGGGCCAAACTTGTCGCAAGTTGAGCAAGATGGGTCTTAAGTTTACCTGCGGCTGATTTGTCCGAAACAACGACAGTTCAAGCTTGGAAACCTATATAGGTAAAAAACCTGGGTTCTACCAAAATGGCTTGCTCTGACCGGTGGTTTGAATTGGTGGTTTGGACCAAAGGGGTGTCGAAGGCTGGAGTTCAAACCCCACCAATCCAAACCAACTACAGGGAGCACCTGAAAGATGTTTCGAAAGCCACCCCCCAGAAACCCGCCTCTCCAGCAAGTCCGGGATAGAGGCGAAGTACTGGACATGCGGGAACCGGAAATAATCGCTGAACTGCAGGATCCGATGCACGGCGTCGATGCTCCTCTCCTCGAAGGGCGACTCCTGGAGAGTTCCAGAACCAGCGAACTGTCGTGAGTGTCTCGACGCTTCTTCGCTCCTCTGCCTTCCTCGCTAGTTTCGACACGACCCCAAGAAAAGCAGCTCCGATTCGGTTCAATTCGGTCCCTTCACTTTGCTCCCGGCAAGAGGTCTGGTTAGCTTAGGGAAACCAAGACGAAACCGACTTCCAATTTCCGGAGGGTCCGATTCCCATTTTGAGAAGTCGCAAACAACTCGGTCGGGGAGGGGTGCGACCCTGCCATGCAGCACGTGAACACGTACACCAACACCCCTAAGGCACTACCCCCAGGGGTTGATGGGAATGCAACCACTATGTAGCCACAAAATGAAGGGGGTTGTTTATATACATCCTCACTTGTACATTCCCTTGCACATCTGTATGATCAAGGCCTTGAGCCTACATACAGTAGAGCTACAGCTTGCACCCAGAAAACAACTGTGCCGTGCTGTCACACAGGTCTTCAGGTATTTACAACATCAATCCAACTTACATGGTAGCGGAGCAGTGATCCCTGGTACACGATCCTACTACACTACCCAGGGTGAGCTCCAACACACACTCACAGGTTGAGGTACACAGTAGTGAGTAACATGGCACAACAACAACAAGATCAGCAGCCACAACAGCAGCAGCTAGAAGGAATCCACAAATACAAGATATCACCACCACGCTTCAATGGCGAATACAACACCTTCGAAGAATGGAAGTACAAGATGACAGCATACCTGGGACTACAAGACCCAGACTACAACAGACTGCTTAGACAGTCAGAGCAATCAACAGGATCAGTTACAAACGACCAACTTGAGAATGCAGCACCTTCACAACAAGTTGCAGAGCCATGGATGCAACTGAGCAACAACTTGCACTACATCCTAGTGAGCACATGCGATGGACCAGCATCTACAATCTGCAGACAAAACATGCAAGGCAATGGATTCGAAACATGGCGGCTTATACATGCAAGGTACTCCATACCTCTTGGTACAAGGAGCATTGGATACCTTACAAAGCTGCTCAAACCACAACTCGATGAACAGAAGTTCGAAGAGAGCTTTACAACATGGGAGTTCCAACTCTCAAGGTACTGCAATTAAAATTGCAGTGCTACTCAATGAAACAAAAGGACCACTGCAGCAGCATTTGCAGCTACAAGCAGGAAACATCACAACATACGCACAGATCAGATCGATGGTGATCGAGTACTACAGAGCAACAGCGTCTTTCACGTGAATCACATCAGGCAACAACAAAAATCAAGGACCGGCACCAATGGACATAGGAGCAACATGGTACAACAAAGGAAAAGGAAAGAAGGGCAAGCACAAAGGCAAAGGAAAACACAACAAAGGCAAAGGCTACGGCGGCTACGGCAACAACTTCGGCTACAACAACTACAAAGGAGGAAAAGGTAAGTACAATCAACAACTGGTTGGACAAGGAAATCCTTTCAAAGGACAACAAGGATACTCCAAAGGAAAAGGATACAACAACAACAACAACAACAACAACAAAGGAAAAGGAAAAGGATACTACAGCAATCAACAAGGAGGAAAAGGATCAAAAGGAAAGCACCAAATGTTTGCTACAGATGTGGACAACCAGGACACATGGCCAAACAACGCAGAGTGGCGATCTACAACTGCGAACTTCGACACCAATGACCAGACAGATGACTGGTACAGTCAGTCACACTATGACAACAACTGGTACCACCAGGATCAGACACACATGCAACAATTAGCATTACCACAGCCACCACAAATGGCGGATCCATTAGCAGTACCCATCTCAGGATTACAAGAAGTAACACTTGCCATGATTGGCACAGCACAACAACACTCAGAAGACAACAAGTGGGTCAGTCTTATGATTGACAGCGGTGCGGCTACACATGTATGCCCACCATGGTTTGCACCACACTTTCCACTACACCAGCTTGCACATGGAACAGGACCACAACTTAGAACAGTGACCAACCAGCACATCGAGCTTTATGGGTACAGATGGGTCTGCATGACAAACCACAGCGGACAACAAATTGTCATACCATTCTATGTTTGTGAGGTTAAACAGCCGATTCTTTCAGTTACAAGGCTGGTGGAACAAGGTTTCCAACTTACATTGGATGACAATCCAAAGCTACATCACATCAAAGGATTCAACAGCACACTGGAGAGCAGAAATGGCCTGTTCTTCCTACAAGCAGAAATCACAGCACTGCCAAAAGGAACAAAGCTACAGATACACAACACGGACCAAGGACAGATCGGCATGATAGAACCGACCACAACATTGACACCACAAGGTCCTGCAGACACAGGTTATGCAGGAGATTACTGGCAATTCAATACACAAGGTGAACTTGTAAGAGTACACAGGCAACACAGAATTCGAGAACACAGTGTCCAGTCCCAGCAGAACAACTGGAGGACTACAGGAAAACAACCATCAGACTCAAGGATGGTACAACGAACACGTTTGAAGACAAGTATCAAACAATGGAAGTGCCAAACAAAGCACAACCGCAAATGTGGAAAGGAGAAACAACATTCAGGATCAAGAAAGGCACAACATTGCCAGAGGCAATACAGCAACAGCTTGCAACAAAGACATAGCCAAAAGGTGCACCACAGAAGGTGACACCACAAGTGATTCAGTACGGACCGCGCACACGGCCTAGAGAGAAAACAACACCACCAACAGTTCAGGACACACCTGCGCCACACACCACCAAAGGCGCAGCTGGACAAGGACTTCCACATCCTTCAGAAGTACACCCTGGAGGAGACTGCTGGTACAGAGAAGGCCCATACTGGAAGAGAGTACATGTTGAGCCCAGAACAGCGTCTTACATACCAGAGCGACGGGCCAGACATCAAACGACTCTTACCTTGGAGACAGACCAAGGTACAACCAGTTGGAGGAGAAAGACAACACACAAGGTTGATAGAAGATGAATGGACAACACAGCCAGCAAAGACATCAGACAAGCCTTGGACAGGCTGGACAAACTTTGAGGAACATCAGGAGTTCCCAACACAGCTCGAGTCAGATGATGAAGAACAACAACAAGGCACAAGAGCAAAAGCAGTACAGGCACCCAAGCAACCTACACCACAGGAGATTTTGGAGCACAATGTCACACACCTCCCTTACAGGAGTTGGTGTCCGATATGCGTACAATCAAGAGGCAGACAAAACAACCATCCAAAACAGCACAGCAAGCTTCCAATCATACAACTCGACTTCGGACACATACCGGCAAGCAACAACACACCACAGCAGAAAGACAACCCTTGAGCGACCTACAACAGCAGAACAACCAAAAAGCAAGATGAGAATCAATGCCATCAAGTTCAAACCAAAGGATGGTAAACAAATGGAGACAACCTCCAATGAAGACACACAAGAAATCGAAAATGAAAGGATCCGATCATACATGACACAGAAGACCTGGATCCACAACTTGTAGCACAATGCATGAAGAAGGAAGTACAACAAATGAAAGAACAATCAGTCTTCACAGAGATTGATGGCAACACAATGACACCAGAACAACAAGCGAACATCATTGAATCAAGATGGGTTCTAAAACCAAAACACAATGAAGTACGAGCACGCATAGTAGCAAAAGGCTACACAGAACCCGTTACAGACCATGACCTACTCTTCGCAAGTACACCATTGTTTTTGCATTCTGAGAGTGCTTCTCACAATGGCACTGGTGTACAACTGGTCGGTCTGTACAGGAGATGTGAGTGTTGCATTTCTACATGCAGCAGCCATCACACACAATCTGGTAATGAGACCACCACACGAGTTCTACAATGAAGAGAACCCATAATGCGGCGGCTAAACAAAGCAATCTACGGTCTTAGATTATCACCAAAACAATGGCAAGACCACATAGCACATGTTCTCACAGTCACACTCGAATTGGCGAGATGAACAACAGAAAGCAATGTCTACAGGTCAAAGGATTGCCTGGTCTACATTATGATCTATGTAGACGACCTCCTATTCATAGGAGTACAAAGCATCATCAACACACTGTTCAGCAGAATACAAAAGGAAGTTCTGCTTAGACATACCGGCGATCTAACAGTTGGATCAACAATCAACTTTCTTGGCAGGAACATCTCACACAGAGGTGATCACATCGACATCAGTTTGAACAACAACTATGTTGACATCATCCTGGAAGAGTCAGGGATGACTACATGCAACCCAGCACCACCAGGGGTGTCACACATGAAAGGTACAGCAGAAGACGAAGCACCACTTGACCACGAACAGCACAAACGATACAGGCGGCTTGTTGGCAAGATACAATGGCTAGCACACACACGACCAGACATCAGCTCTGGAGCAAAAGAGCTAGCAAGGTCATTACAAGCACCAAAACAGTTTGACAACAAGAAGCTCAAGCACATGATCAGGTACCTCAAGGGCACAAGGTACATGCGACACAACTTGCGACCAAAGATACAAGCACGGGACAAGCGAATACCACTCAACATTGACACATACACAGATGCCAATTGGGCATCATGTGAAGCAACAAGAAAGAGCACAACAGGATTTGTACTGTACTTCTTTGGAGCAGCAGTACATTATGGCAGCAGAACACAAGCCACAATAGCACTTTCATCAGCAGAATCAGAACTGTACGCAATCGGTACAGCAGCACAGGAAAGCCTCTACATCGGCAACTTCATAAAAGAAGCATTTGAGGTACGCATCAACATCAGGATACACACAGACAGCAGTGCAGCAAAATCAATATCAATGAGAGAAGGTCCATCAAAGAAGGCAAAACACCTCGAGCTACGACGCCTCTTCACACAACAACTAGCAAAACCATTTCAATGCACAAAGTGAGGTCTGAAGACAACCATCAGACCTGCTGACAAAGTTTGTCAGCTGCAACACACTCAACAAACACCTGTACAACGTTGGCCTGTGAGGTCACACAACACCAGTTTCACACAGTTGCACAGTATGTTAAACAACAGTTGCACAGTTGACACACGTGTATGTTTCACAACTAAACGGCCGGCACACATGCTTTTTAGCTTTAGGTTAGGTACAGCCATGGACCGGCCCTGGAGATGATACAACCTTTCTGGTTTGGTTACACAACTTTGAGTTCATCTTTGACCACATCTTTTACATCCTCAGGTACATTTTACTGCATGAGGTTCCATACATGTTTCAGACAATTTCTTTGATACATGTCGCAGCCATTTTACATTTGGTGAAGACACACCCCTGTACATTGAAGGTACAAAATGGCGATGTCAGGACTCACAAGGATCGCTGAGTACATCCCGGCCACAGAGGTCACAGTGGCAAGGACATGGGATGCGGTGAGCCTTACATCTTTGGGCTACACTGAGGAGAACATCACCGGGCTTGCGTACATTGGATGGGATCCACTTGGACACCATCCAGAACAAGACCAACATGATGTACATTGCAATGACATTTGAGGAGTTCACGGCTTGGACAGCAAATGGTGAACTGAAGCACATCCATGGCTGGGCCAGAAGCCCAGAGGTCGAGTACATTGTGTTGAACAGTTCCCCTTTTGAGGCTGTCACAACCCTTCTGAATTACATTTCTGTCGGGACCATGCAGGACACAGCACCTGGACACATTCATTGTGGCCACAGTGCAGCTGGATGCGAGGCACATTGCCGAGTGGGCATCCCGCGGCTACATCAATTTCTTCAATCGGGGCTACAGCGCAGTTCACATGCAGATCCACATGAATAAGACATGGATTCAGACATAGGATGAGCTGTCTAAGCATCAGGTTTTCAAGTACACCGGCAACAATGGCCTGCTCGGGCTTTACGTGAAGTTCAACTGGAACACAGGGTACATCTGGTCGTACAACGCCTGCGTGAATCTTGAGCAACTCGCCACAGGTGATGACACCTGCCGCAGGCACGCTACAGTGGCACAGGCATTGTCCTTGATGGGTGTTGGCAGCATCAAACATCTGCCACCTGCACATCAGGTGACATTGGTGAGGCACATTTCGATGCAAGATGCACACAGTCTCAACACACGTGGCACGGTTGAGGGACAAGCAGTACCAGGACATCCGGGCCACATCGATTACATCCTCAAGCAGCAGCATCTGTTTTACATGAACTATGCTGCGACCAAGGCACGCTACAATGAGTACCTTACAGGAGTGAAGCAGGGATCCACACTGCTTACACAGTGATTGCCGATTTTTGGCACACCGGATTTTGTGGATACAAGGTGTTGCAGATACACCTTGCTGACATCAGGTCACACTTGCAGTCTGTACAGTCGCTCGATACATTAGAGGCATCGATGTACAAATTGAAACAGTCAGTAGAGCTTCTAACAACTTTACATCACCTCGACAGGCTAGAGCACAACTGTTTGTCTTGATGTCTAGATACATCAATCCAAGGTGGGGTGTTAATATACATCCTCACTTGTACATTCCCTTGCACATCTGTATGATCAAGGCCTTGAGCCTACATACAGTAGAGCTACAGCTTGCACCCAGGAAACAACTGTGCCGTGCTGTCACACACAGGTCTTCAGGTATTTACAACATCAATCCAACTTTAACAGGGGTGTGTAAGTATATATATAAATATGTTCTTATGTACCCCACAGGGGTGTTTTGGTGGCACCAAAACCAATTCGCATTCAGATTCGCGGCCCGAATGGGGGGGGTGAACCCGGTCCGATTCCCGGGCCTCAGTATCAGGCCACAGGGTCTGGGTCCTGGGATCCATCCTCCTCCCCGCCCAGCGGTGGTCATAGGATTCGTGGCCCTGCTGGAAGAGGTACTTGGGCAGATGCTCGGGCATGAAGATGGGCACGTTCCTGAGGACATCGCATGTTAGTTGATGTGATTGACTAAATTGACTGCCCAAAGAAATGTAAATCGAATGATCCGCCTGATGCGGATGTTCCTTGCAGCCATACCTTTTTGGATTCAGGCAATTGGGGGTGCTGATGTGGCAACAAATTCCTGTCACCCCTTTACCCCTTTGCTCACCGCGGAGTTTGGGCAGGGCCATCTGGCGCTGGCCACGTGGCGGGTCAAACGCGCGGCTAAAAAGCTAGGGTGCGGCTAAGCGCCAAGACTCATGCTGTAGAACCTTAGCCGAGAAACACGAAAAGCATTCGTCTCCGGTCCCCGGTCTACTTTGCTTCAACTTCGGGATGTGTTGAATTCGACCAATCCGAATGGCTGGAGGTTGGCTTTTTCTCGAGATCCACCAAGGTGACTCTACGGTTGACACGTTCTGAGCCACAAGGCCCTCCTGGCGATATCAGTCTGGGTCATCTGCTTTTTGTCCGGGCAGCTCGTAGAAGGTGATCAGATCCATGTCGTATGCCCAAAGCACCACGGCTTTGAACTGGGCAAAGGTGCCTGGAGGGAGGAAGGACTGATGCTCTCGCACGGGCATCGGTTTAGTCCCTTTGTCGGTTTTTTCTGCTTCGCCTTTTTTCTCCCGAACTCGTCTTCAACGAGGGGCTGAACTGCTTGTCCGTCAGGGACCGGGTTGTGAAGCCGAAGGGATACTCCTCGCTGCCGGCCGCCCGAAGCCGGCCCTCCAGCGTGGGCCAGCTCCCTTGGCGAGAGCCCAGGCTCCGCTGCAAGAGGCACATGAGCACCGACTCGTGGGGCCGGTCCAGCACCTTGCGACCCTCGAAATGGCGCTTCTCTCGTAAAAACCGGTTTCACGGGAGGAAGTCCGGCTGTTCGGGATCTCCAATTCAGCTTACCTCAAGTTGGTTTGGACTGCCAACCCCGAACACACGAAGCAATAATCCCACTAACGGTCCTGGCTCTTCTTGAGGCCAAATGGTCCAAAGCACCAGTCCAAAAACGATCCAACAAAATGTGTCATGTTTGCGTTTGTTTAGTAAGAACCCTTTAATGGACATCATTTACGTCGGAAATGTATGTCCGTCAAGACAAATAAATCGCGCCCACACCACACAAGGCCCTGTCTCTTGCAAACTCTTTGCGCCAAAGGCCACTGGGCGATCGGGCGATGTCCGATGGCCTACAAGGTGCGGCCCTAGCCTGTCTTCCGCAAGCGGACAGATTCGAAGGAAACATTTCCAAAGACCCCGAAGGCCCAACCATTTCTTTTGATGCCCAAAGACCCAACCCCGGCAAAAAAGTCGCAAGCAACTTCTGTGGACCTTCAGAACCATGTGGCCTGTTGGTAAAATAGATGGGTGTCCTTGCTAAATGGAATACAGTAAACCCAAACATGGGCCTTTCAGGATCGGCGGCAATTGACTCCCGTTCGCTCTGCGTCTCTCTGGGGGCTTCGGGTGGTTCGGGCGCTGACTCGCCTCCGTTGTGTGCGTGTTGTTTCGACCGACCAGTGTTTGTGGGGCAGCGAGTTGCGCAAACCAACCACACTTCGGGTAGGTGTTGTCATGGACATGGTGCGCACAGGAAGCTGGTTGGCCTTGAGTCTGCAGGATCCTTTGTCACTGCGGTTGCGAGCCCCCACCCCCCTGGTCTGAGCGCGTTGTTTGGGTCTGCCCGTTTTGCGCATGCCAAGGAGGTGTTGAGCAGGCGGCAAGAGCAGGATTCTGAGTTGTTGCTAGATCCCCCGGCTGAGATTCAGGCTCTTGCCGTGCCCATGGATTGAGCCTGAGGTTCAGCCGCACTTCCATGGATACATTTGGTTGCACTTTGTATGTTTTTGGTTTGTCGCGACGCGCCCAAACGCTATGCATTCGAGAGAGAGAAAACCCAAACTAAGCGATGAAAAGCACGCCTATTTCCGGTAAAGAGCCCAAACGCCAAGGCGCCAGCACCTCGTTGCGGCTGGGCACGTAGGACGCCCTCGTGTAGAGCGCGTGGCTGCGGATCGCCGGCAGCCGAGGGGAGCCCACCTGGACCCGTCGGCCAGGTGGACATGTTGGAAGAGTCGGAAGACTTCCCAAGCTGTTCCTTTTAACTTTTTAACCAGCCGCAGCTTGGAAGAGCTTCCCTTGGAGGTTTCCTGCAACCTTTAACAAGCTAGAGCAGCTTGAAGTGCTTCCCTTGGAACTTTCTTGCAACCAACATTTAGAAGGAACTTTGGACCAGCTAGAGCAGTGTGGAAGAGCTTCCCTTGGTTTTCCTTTCAACCAATATTCAGTGCGAACATTTTGGGGGGGGGGGGCGTCCGACCCTCTTGCCGGGAAAATTTGGAGCTCGCCCGCCATGTCCCAATGCCCAGGGACTACTGGAAATGTTGACCAAACCTCAAGTCTTCAAGTGCTGGGCCAACGAGAGAACAACAGAAGCGCAGCCTGGTACTCGTACTGCATCTGCAGAAAGGGATCGCTCACCGCAAAGGCAACCGTCCGGCTCCTGCCAGAGGCAGCAACTGAACCAACCAGCCAAAGAAGCCAAACCGAACCAAGCCATGATTCCATGAGGATAGGATGCTTTTTTGAGAGTGCCTTTTTTGAGGCGCAGACTTGCTGCCAAACACTATTAAATGACTGGAGACTCTGGCATCAAAAACGAATATCAAGCATCAAAAACAAACTTGTCGAGCATCACCCCACAAAAAGGCAACTCGCTAACATTGCTCCAAAAGGTGATGTTTGCACCCAACGTCTATCCGAAACAAACCATCAAGACTTTCAATTTGGGGCATTCAACACCCGCGGAAGCCCGTGATGGCTTGGAAGGGGCTGGTTCAGTTTGACCATTTCGGCTGTAAAAACAGTATATAAGGGTCCAGATGTTCAAGCACTTTGAATAGGTTAAGTTGCAAGAGATTGTCAAGAGTCTGCCGTGCGGAAAGGAGCGTTTGCGGCTCTCTGCAGGCCATTTTTGCAGGCCTCGCCATGCCCATGAACTTGGCCCAGAAGCTCTCCCTCACCACGTGGTCGTCGGGGACCATGAAGAGCAAGGGGTGCCCAAAGTAGCCCAAGGTCGGCACGTCCAGGGCCTGACGTTGTCGGTCGGCACCCCATGTACTGGACAAGTGGCAATTCTCCCAAAGGAGACCTGAGGCTTGACCAAGTCTTGACCAAGTAACACCCACAGCAAACCGCCTGGCAAGAGGGGCACTGGCAACGCGCTTGAGGGGCAGTTCTGGATGGATGCCTTTGGCCCAAACCTCTCCTCCACTAAAAGGCAAAGGTAGGCGATGGTGCACAAGAAAACGTCCACCTCACGCAGCCGTGAGGCCGCCAAATTCACGAAGTCGGCTGCAAAGGACGTCATGTCCTGGGACCCTTGGCACTTTGCTAGGCTGCAATGAAAGAGAGGGAGTGAGAGACAGAGAGAGAGAGAGAGAGAGAGTCACAACGTGTAGTAATTTTGTCAAGTGTTGGCCAGCGCTTGAGGGGCTGCAAAGTGATTTGACAAAATCACGTTCCTCCGGCAGAACTACCTGAATTTGAAGCCTGAAAAAGACAAAACCTCAAATATCAGCTTCTCGCATGTCACGCTCATGCACGCTATTCTGGGTTGTGTTGTTCCCGCTGTTTTGCTTTCTTTGCCCCACTCCTCCACCGGCTCATTGGATACGGCGCTATGCGGGATCCTCTCGCGAAAGAGCTGGGTCAGGTCGTCCTGCACATTGTCACAGTGAAGATTGGGATGCTGGTAGAGCCTCGGCTCGGAATGCTTGACGCCAAAATAGCACTCGCCGAGGGGGTATGGTCATCTGCCATTGCTCAAGCACCGCATCCGTCCTTCCTAGAGAAAATGCTGGCCAGACAGAATCCGCTAAGTGGCGCTGTGACCCTGCAGAAACTTGAGTGCTCAAACACACGAAGAGTCCCAGTTTCAGTCCGCTGCCCCGCCTACAAGCCAACCAGCCGGCTCAGCCAAAACGCGTAGCGCACTTGTCCGGCAGCCACTTGGGGTACTGGTCTCGGATCAGGTTCCGGTGCTGTAGGTCCTTCGCCAGCACGCGGGACCACATCTGCAGCGGCTCCGCCGACCTGAGCTGAATGGAAGGGATTCCCAGAGCTGAGCTTCCGTTTAACCAACTCCAAAAATGGGTCTCAAAAAAACACAACTCCAAATAGCAGAAGGTCCCTGCCAAATGCGAGTCGTGCCAGCTCCAAAATCGGGGCCAAGGCACAGACTCGCATGGACCCCGATCTCCCACACCCGGAGCTGCGACGACAGCGACGGAGCGGTCGCTTTCGCCGGAGGTTCGAGGCGGTAGGATGTCCGAAGCTCGGGCGGCAGCCGGAAGTTCGGGCGCCCCAAATTCGCCAAGATGTCCAGAGAGTCGATGGGCCAGCCCGAACCCTGAAGGAAACCACCAAATCCCTTCGGATTGGGGGGGGAAGCACGGCTGGAAACACGGGGCTTACGCGCAAGAGAGGTCCGGCAAGGTGGCGAAGCCGGGAGAAAGCTGCAAGACCATCCAGGGATAGACCTTCCCACTTGTAGCTCCCACCAGCCACCAGCGAGTAAGCTGTGTACACCGAACCACTCAATTGGAACTTGCAGTTAGACTAGGTAGCGGCTACTCATACAGCAAGCATGACAGCAACTTTCATTCAACTCTCCTTAGCCGGTTTCCTCCGTATGTCTCATCCCCACCCCCCCGCCCCTTCTTTTTGCCGGGGCTGCTTTTGGAAGCCAAATGCGGACACCTAACTGTCAGGACTTCGCCCCAGTCTTTTTGGGTGTTCCCTTGTGGCTCGGCCGCGCGCGGCGCGTCTCCGCCTCCATAAAGTCCAGGGTGCTCCGCATGGCCTCCCACGAGTCATGAGCGCAGGTCTCACCCCTGCCCCGAAACATGTGCCGGCTCCCCGCCCCAAAACAAACGCACCTACAGAAACCCTTGGCTGACTCATGGCAAAGGAGTCTTTCCATATCATCCCTTCCACAAAAGCAGATGGAAACGCTGTTTTGTTGGTGTCCCTTTAACCCAACCTAAAACAAAAAAAGCTGCCCTCAAAAGCAAACACGAACAAACAAACAAAAACAAACCAACAAACCAACAAACCAACAAACAAGCACACACACACACACACACACACACACACACACACACACACACACACACACACACACACACACACACACACACAAACACACACTCACACACACACTCACACACACACACACACACACACACACACACACACACACACACACACACGCACACCACACACGACCACACACTCACACTCACACACACACACACACACACACACACACACCACACACACACACACACGCACGCACGCACGCACGCACGCACGCACGCACGCACGCACGCACGCACGCACGCACGCACGCACGCACGCACGCACGCACGCACGCACGCACGCACGCACGCAGCGCATCCTTTTGGCCTGGCTGCCGTCATGTCTACCATGCAGCGTGTGTTGCTCAAATGCGCACCCATATGACCCACGTCTCCTGTGCATTGTGTCGTTTGCCGTGGCAACCCGGTTGGGATCCTGAGTTTGTCCAGTGGTATTCTGGCCTGATGGCTTCGGCCCCCCACCCGCACGCACGCACGCACGCACGCACGCACGAGCACGGGCACGGGCACGGGCACAGGCAGAGGCACAGGCACAGGCACAGACACAGACACAGACACACACACAAACACACCAACACACCAACACACACACAAACACACCAACACACAGACACACACAAACACACAGACACACAGACACGCACAGACACAGACACCGACACACACCCACGCACGCCCGCACGCACATCGGTGATTTGGAGCACAGCAAGCTACGGAACCTCGCCGTCCAAGCGCTGCCAAAATAGGAGTTTCTGATCTCTTGGGACCATCGTCATCAGGGTGCCCGAAGTCCCACAAGTGGAAACTCCCAAGAACTACGTGGCGTCAGGGTGGATCTGCCGCTCCGCACACACACACACACACACGCCCCCGTCGGGGCGAGAACCCAACAAACAAGAACAGAGCAAAACAAAACGAAGCGAAAAGTCCCCGATTGGGAATTCGCGAGCAAAACCCTTTCCAACAGACAAGAAAAACGGGGACACCAATGCAAGGGTCTCCGAGGGCAAGAACCCTCAACAGCGCAAAACAACCTCGAAGAAGACGGACGTTCCAAGGGCAAGAACCGGGACAGGCAAAAGAATGGACCCAGGAGTAGCAATGACAGCAAGGGAGAGAAAGGAAAGAAGAAGACCGAGAAGAGGAAGAAGCCATCCCGCAAAGGGGCCAAGAGCACGTACAGCGCTGGAAGACAAGTCAAGGACGAAGGCGAAGAACACGAAGACAAGGAGGCCATCCCTAAACCGGCGAACAGGACCAACACGGCTGACGACAAACATGGAAAAGGGAACAGGAGGAAGGAGAAGCCATCCCTGAACAGGCGATGAGCAAGAAGCCGCACAACAGGGCGACATAGGCGACGCAGCAAGAAGCACTGTTGCTCTGGTAGCCTTAGTGAAACCTCGATCCTGATTATTTAAATGGTGTAATCTCGCCTTTCTAATGATCAAACCGCTGAGGTATAAATTTTCCGGCAAAGCCGGCCCGGGGCCACGCAATGGATGCACCCGAGGGTCCCCCTCGATGGGGTGAACACTCTTAGACTCCCGAGAATCTTCAAGTTGGATCGGGCTCAGCTTGGTAGAGTTCGAGTAAGCAAGCCAGCTGCGGAACCTCGCCGCCCAGGCACTGCCGAAGTAGGAGTTTCGGATCTCGTAAAACCATCCTCATGAGGGTGCCCGATGTCCCACGTGTGGCAACTCCCAAGAATTATGTGGCGTCAGGGTGGGTCTGACGCTCTGCGCACACACACGCACTTACGCACCCCACGCACACACACAAAGAAACAAACAAACAAACAAACAAACAAACAAACAAACAAACAACCAACCAACCAACCAACCAACCAACCAACCAACCAACCAACCAACCAACCAACCAACCAATCAAATATAGCAAAACAATCAACCAACCAACCAACCAACCAACCAACCAACCAACCAACCAAGCAAGCAAGCAATCAATCAATCAATCAATCAATCAAACAAACAAGCAAACACACACACAAACACACACACACGCACGCACACACACACACAAACACACACACACACACACACAGTCTGATGAGTCTCGAGTACAATGAGTTTCGGCTCGCGATGCACTCGGCTTCCCTCTAGTGTCGAAAACGTTACAAGGTTCAACATGAAGCACACACAGCGAGAGAAACAACGGGCCAAAAGGACTTTGAACCAGTCTTGTCTTCGTTGGTGCCAGCCTTGCTCTGCCCCTGGCACCCCCTGCGGTTGAAATCATAAGCAATTGCGGTGGCAGGGTATTCTGCCACTCCGCACACACACACACACGCCCCTCCACGAGGGGCGTACATTCTCTTTTGCTTCCGGAAGATCACGTGCTCACAACCTAACGTCGACCAAAATATCCACAGCGGCGGGGAGAACGAGAAATTGCACGCTCTGTACGATGCCGTTCAGAAGACGGGGACGAAGGATCTCCAAGTTGAGCAGGAAGTGTGCCGCCATAGAAGACCGGCGGAAGATGCAAAGATGACGGATGTGCAACGTCGGACATGGGCCGGGCGTAGGTGAACATTTCCTCGACCTGGATGGAGATGTCCGGATTGTGCAAGCCATCAAGTAGTTGATCCGGAGCGTGATGGGTGGAGAATGACTCATAGCGGGACAATATCCGTTGGTATCCTTGATGTTGCCAATCTCGAATAGTCCACTAGCTGAGGTTGTCCAGGAATATAGATCCGCACCCATTCACGACCCTGCCAGACTGAATACTCCAGCCACGGAGTTGCATCATCTGTATCCATGTCGAAGTGAAAGATAGGGCGCACCACAGGTTCCGATCCAGCTAGCAAGGAGACAGTCACCATGCACAACCATGCACAACCAACAAGCACACATGAAACCAAGAGAACGTGAAAGCATCATTTTGCACCACGGTCCAAACTCATCAGTCTACTCAGCAACTAGCTCGAAGATAGGCTTCTCCTTGGTGGCAGAGCTGCTTGGTTGGCTTGCAGGCAGATAGGGACCAGCGATTTGAATAGACTCAGGCGGATCAACGCCCCGAGAAGTACGCACTGGTTGGTGCGGTTGCGACGCTTGACGCGCGCGATCCGACAGCTGCTGACCGATCCCTGCTTGAAGACGAGTGAGATCCTCAGTGGAGAAAGCCGATGCATCCGAAGATCGAAGAATCGCGTCCAACATCTGCGTAGACATGCACAAAGCCGATGATTGCGTGGCCACGTTGTGCTGATCGGGAGAAAACATCGAATTGAAGCCGTAGTCAGGTTCAGGAGCTGCGACGCGCCGGTAGCCTTCTGTGGTCCAGTCCCGCTTGTACCAAGTACTGCTGGTGGGTTGAACACCGTCATGAGCATGATTTGGGGCATAGAACTCCTTCCATTCCCTGTACGTATGACGTGGAGGAGGGTCATCACGTTCGCCTTGTGGTGTGGAAAATCTTAACCCATTGAGCGTCAGGTCGCTGAGGATCAGGGCACCATTCTAGCCACGGCATGATGATCGATCAATGATGCACATGGCTGCAAGATACAAACATGGTACAAGTCAATCAAACTCAAGGCCTTAGACAATGCACTCAAGACGCAAGACGCAACAAGCACAATGTTTTAAGCAACAGTCTGCCCAGGCATCAATGTCACTCGTCCCAGTCAAAATTAGGATCGTAGCTCGGTGGGGGAGAAGGTTCACGCCAAGCGCCATCCGGAACCAAAGACGCCGACGAGGACGACAATCCAGCGTACACGAGATCTGGCGATCCAATGTTTGGACGTGGGTCACCAAGGCGTTGGTATCCCCGCGTGTGCCAATCTCGATATTGCCACGTGTAAAAGGACACATAGGAGACCGGCAGTGCGAGGGCATCCGCAGTGGTGCCTCACAAGGCCAACACACGTCAAAGTGGTAGACTCTGCGCCATTCACGATATGTGGACGCGTGGTCCGGAGCTGGGCCTAAGGTGGATTCTGCCACAGGCTGCCACATGCCCGGTGTGTAAACACGAATCCATTCCACTCTTGAGTTCCCAGGGCCACGCACGATGTCGTACTCAAAGTAGAATCAGCAAGCAACGCGGACCGACTTTTCACACACAAGGCTGCACGGCACCTGTTCACTGTCGTTGTTGACGTGAGCATCTGCATGATGGAAGTGTCCTGGTTGACGTCTCACACAAGGGGAAAGACACTTCCGTCCATGATGTAGTTCCGGACCGTGTTGCGCGAGCCTTTTGGGAGTGAACACGGTGAAGGGTCGTCGAGAATATTGCTCTGCAGTGGTTGATGCGGCACCTTTCAACTTTGCGAGTGCGCTTTGGAGTGCGCGTGAGGCTCCGAAGATCATCAGCACTGAGTTGGTCGGCACTGCGACCTGACCGACGTGTGCGTTGAGAGGTCATACAGCCGGGCAGGATTGTTTTCGGGGGGATGAAGTGGGTGAAGTCCGTAATGAGGGCAAAAACTGTGGGTGGAGGATTTTCGGTGGCGGTGGTGGTGGTGGAGGCGGAGGAGGTAGAACCAACTGTGGTGGAGGTGGCGGTGGCACCGGCACCCGCAATAGCCTTTCCGCTTGAACTCCCGGTAGGCGATCATGAAGTGAGGGTCCGTGATACTGCAACCACTTCGGCTGCACTCCATGGGTCCAGGTTATGAACGTCTGAACATTTTGTTCCATCATGACTTGAACACTCAGGACAGCAAGAC